CTGAGCAGCTACTCCAAGCTCAGCCTGCCCAAGTCTGTCTTGATCTGAAAAGCTGAGATGAAAACTATCTGCAGCTTCCAGCCTTCCCCTTCTGATCTTCTCCTGGCTCGTGTTTTATTATTTTGCTTTTATTTAGCATCTTTTTCTTGCCACAGAGCATTTCACAGGATCCTGAGCCACAGGTCTGGATTGGGATATGTGGTACCACAAAAGGGTACAGAGCCATATTGCCTTCAAGGAAAAATCTGGTCCTTGAAACTAGAGTAATCTTATACTTGAACCAACTTTACTGAAGGAATGATCAGTTTGCAGATAATTCTGTTACTCAGATGCCTACCGCGATATAGGTGGACTCTCTTTTTATATCCTCCCTGTTCCATAGGGGTGGCCCAATCCTCACAGTCATCTAAGGAGGGATTAATCTTAGAGCAGTGGGAAAGAATCTCCATGAAAGAAAAGGGAGCAAGACTCATTTAAAAGTATAGCTGTTAGTGTAAGAAAAACTAAGTATCTGGCCAGTAGCACATCTGTAACTACAGGTTTCAAAATGCTAAGTGAATGCAAGTAAGTTTTCTGCTTAAGAAAGAATTTAATATCCAGCTGATGTGTTTATCACAAATGTGGTAATAGACATGTCTGTCTTATTGGCTGCTGTTTAGACAAGCATTCATAAATGACTGAGAATAAATTGAAGACAGTATTACAAAAACTAATCTACCTACAAAGTCTTCCTTTAACCAGGAGTTGTCATATTTGTTCTGATCTCAGAAAGATAAGTTGTAAGTTATTATCCTTTCTCAGACAAACTAAGCAAATAAACACAAAACAGTGAAGAGGTAAAATACCTGAAAAAAATATTTGCATGCTTTTTTTTTTCCCTCTGGGCAAGGGCTGGGTTCAGAAAGCATTTTCAATCTTTGTTGTGATTTTTTTTTAAACTTTTTTCCTGATAAGGACAGGAAATTTACTGGGGTTATTGGCAAATCAGGGTCAAAACCCCATTTCCTTCCTCAGATGGTACACAAGAAGTAATCCCCATGTAATCAATAATTCTGTCTGTATGAATAAATAACATGTGCCTCAGACCATATTCCAGACCTGGGGACAGGGTACAACATCTTCAAGCAGATGCACACTGTTTTTCCCAGAACGGAGTAGATACACTCTGCAGTGGATTCTTTCCCATGCTATCTCCCAGGTCATGCCCAGGCACAGTCCTGGAAGACTTAATTGACAAAAATGATGCTGGAATTTGTCAAAACTTGCAGTTTCACAGTTTGGTGACTGATGGTTGGTGCTTAATGTAGACTTGCCCAGACTGCATGGTTAGGGCACAATCCAGACCCCAAGCATATGAATACTGTTTCTGTGGCCCAGGCTGAGGAAAGCATGAGCAATCCTGCTCCAGAACCTACCTCAAAAGTCTTCATCAAGATTTCATACATCCAGCTTTGTTTTCCTTCTCCGCCACGGTCTATCTGCATGACCTTGGGCAAGTCACTCTTCTGGCTGGGCTGCAGACTGCAGCATAGCATAGCAGTAACTGTGAAAAGGCTAGACAGAGTACCCAAAGCAGTGGGAGAGGTATTTTCCTACAGCCTGGTTCACCTGGCCTTCCAGAAGAGTAAAGTAACCTACAGTGACTCCTTTGCTGCCAGAGTGGATTTTAAACTCATCTCAGGCATCTGAAACTACACTGCAGTCTGCACTCTGGATGTAACTGCCATCTCTCTGCTCCTCTGGTGAGTGGAGAGACCAAGACTTCCTGACTTACAGAGGGGCAGTGAAGACAGATGTATTTGAGTCTATAAGCTCCTGCAACACTACAGTAAGTAATGATTAAACAATCATTACCCTTCACAGCCAGATTTTCTTAGGAAAAGCCAAGTAGTTTCATTAGATTTTGCAGCCCAATATCAGCTGTTTCAAAACCAGAGCAGTTTGCTGAAACCTGCTCATACAGCTCCCATGAAGTTCCCATGAAAGATCTAGGAAGAGCTCATCCGTAGCCAGCCACACCTGAGAGAATCCATGTAATTTGGCTTCCAGCAGGAGATTAGAAGAGGGACAAAGTGAAAGTTCCTCACAAAGCCTGAGGGAAAGAAAAAGCTACAAGATGTTTTTGCAGCTTCCACGTGGAGCAGGAGAGGGGTTGGAACAGCTCAGCATTGTCATTGTGATTCCCAAACCAATACAGGTTGACACTTGACCCATGTCAGATGCAAACTAAGCACCTCTGGGACACCTTCACAGTTTGTAAACCCACCATAGTGTTCTTAGAAGAATTTTATCCAATCTGAGGCCATAATTAAAAGAATATGGCAAAGCAAAATCTACCACTATTAACCATCCAACTTGTCCTTTGAGAAAGTGAGGCAATCTAGAAGACCTTGGTGGGTCCTTATAGTGCAGGAGCATTCAGCTGAGGAAGCTCCCAATGATGTGGACTGGTGAACGGTCCACGTTGAATAAGGGAAGGCAGATTTGGCCCTCTTGTTTTCATACGCATAATGTTTAACCACAAACACTTCTTCATGTCACAACTCAAGTAAAACGAAATCCTCATAGCCACAGCCACAGAAGTTGTTGCCCTTTGCTGAACATCCAGAGACTGCTCTAGCCCAGTGCCTGCAGCACCCAAGATATTTTTTCTTAAAGACATCTACATACCCCAAAGGAAGCAACACAGGCCTGAGTTTCTACAGCCTTTGCTCAGAGGTGCAGAGAGAGGTAGGTCAGTAAATAGCTTGGGAGCCTGGATTAAACTCATTTTGGCCATGGCTTGAAGGACAGCAAGAAACATTTATGCACAGCTTCCTAATTCTTGGTAGTTGACCTAGTGAGTCTATACAAAGCAGTAAATTATCCCCAGCAGCTGGAGCCAAGAAGACCAAAGGAGGTGAGTATTTGAGGACACACCACAGCTCAAGACCAGCCCAGGTTCAGGACTGACCCTGGTCCCATAGAAAAGTCCTTACCATGCCAGAAAAGAAAAACTGTGTTCAAGTATGTTTCTCAGTAACACCAGGGACTCTCCCTAGCTGCAGAAATGGCTCATAATTGTTAACTTTTTTCTAAAGTGCACTCACAGATTTTGATGGCTTTACCTCCCTTCACTAAGAAGTGGGTGGAAAGCTGCCTGCTCTGTCCAGCTTCAAACGTAGATACTTAAGTGCATTTATTCCTTCATCCAGAAGATGATACATAACTACATGGGGAACTGGAGGTGCCAGACTGGTATTCAGCAGTGCTCAGTCAGATATCAATGCTTTGTTAAAACCTTTCTCTGTGTGAATTATCTACTGATCACTTTTATTCCAATAAATCATGAATCTAGAGCACATTATTTTTTCATTTGCTTTTATATTTAAAAAAGGAGGAGTTGTATGCATGCTCCTAGTAAGAACTCCCACATTACAAGTGATCCTATCCTAGTTTTGTGAAGCTCAGTCAGTGTGTCTCTACACAAGAAAATTAATCTGGATTGAGAGAGTAGAATGACTATTTCTGCAAAAAGCTGCTTTATAATGTTAGTCTAGGTTATCAGTGTTGCCCACTGAATTGGCTTAATCTTGACTTTAAAAATAAGCAAAATGTAAAGAAAACACTTTAATTCTTCAATAGCAGGACTGTCTTCAGATTGAGTTAAAAGATAAAATGTGTGCAGGTATATTTAACTCAGAATAACTCGTGTTTCTGAGCACTCCTTGCACTGGGGACTTTTCTGCAGGAGCAAGGACACCTTTTCGTTTCCACACACTCAAACAGTCACAACTCTGCACAAAGCAACTACTGTAACATCTAGAGCAACGGGACCAAATCCCAGCTGTCCCACCTGGCCCTTCTACTGAATTAAACAGACCAGTAAAACTGATCTATGCCTCTGATTTGGCTTTTCGAGCAGGGACAGGCTTTACTTTTTTTTTTCTTGGTATATGAAGAGTAATTAAAAAATAAAACTTTAGGATCTGGCCACTTCTTGTAAGAGCACTACCTCCCTCATCCCTGAGGAGCTCTTGGGGAAAAAAGGACCGGAGACCCCAGAGAGCCCCTCTGCTCCAAGAAGGACCGTATCCTCTTTCCTGCGACGTGAGCTATGAACTAATAGTGTGCTAAGGAGTCTGTTACACTGTTAAATAAATCCTGCCTCTTGTGCATGGTATTCTGTAATTCATCGAAACTTCTTTTAGCAGCCACATGCAAACTTTGCACCTTATTTGTTCATAGCAGGTTAGTCCTGGTGATCTGGATAGCTCCACATGAAAAGGGAAGCAGATGGGCGCTTGTGTCCCAGAGAAATATTCCTGAGATCATTTGTGCCAAATTATTTATTCTTTTAATTGTAAGGACTGAAAGTTATTTCACCTTTTACCTTGTTTCGCCTTCACTGGAATCCTCTAGCTAATGGGCTCCATCCCAAAACTTCAGACCATCCATCAGTGGCAGAGTTAATTATTATCACACTGAGAGAAAAACATTCCTCCTCCCTTCTGCTTCCTTGCATGCAGGTAAGGAAAAAGAAGGCAGGACACCTGAAACCGCTTCTGGCCCAAGCCTCCTGCTGCTCCTACAGCCCTCGCAGAGTCAGGGAGATAGAGGAGCTAACTGTGCATTTGAGGAAAGCCACATTAAAGGGAAATTATCCCAACATGACAGTGGGGCTGGAAAAGGTGGTATCAAACCCCCAGTTCTCACACACACACAGACCTCCTCTCCCCTTTTCCCGATGTATTAACCCCTAAAGGCATCGCAAGCTCTCACGGTTCCGAGGCTGTTCTCCACTCCCTGCTTTTCCTGGATGGTTAGCGTACAGTCCCCCCTCCCTCCCTTCTCGGACAGAACAATAGCAAGGCACCGCTTTCAGCTGCTTCCCGAGGAAAGCCCAGATCACACACATTTAGAGATAGAGAGATAGATATGATTATATTTCTCTTTGCTGTTTAGGACAAGAAATGAAGTGCTGCCTCTTTAATTGGCAAAAGCATGCAGTAAGAGCATACCTTTAATTTAGTGTTGGGATAGCTCACTTGCACCCTGGCTGTTGTCTTATTGGAGAGGGCAGCCTGCCTCAGATCCTCTAGCACTGAAATAATATCATCCAGCACGCATTTCTTATCCTGATTTCTCAACACACACAGATGGGAAAAAGTATAATTATAGCCTTTGTAGTTCACCTTCATTTCCAGCACGGCTCGGTGGATCTGCAGGATCACATCAGCCTGGTGCAAAATATTGCCTCCGGGTTTGGAGAGGAGAATCACCCTGCCATACCTCCCCGGGGTGTGCAAGTCCGAATAGAGCTGGCTTTTGGATTGATCGAGGGAGAAAAGGCTGCTGGCTAAGCTCCTCTCGATCTTGGCCAGGCTGTGGCTGGGGGCTACCAGGCTCTCCAGGTCAGTGTCAGGCTGGAAGCGGTTGAGCAGGCTGAAGCCGAAGATGATGGTCAGGACTGCGGGCACAGTGAGGAAAAACACCGGATGCCTGCTCACGAATAAGCCCAGCTTGTAGAAAAACGACTGGAGCCCTCTGTGTATCACCTGCCGCAGCATCCTCCACCAGATCCAGCCTGCAGATGCTCCTGGCCGTCTTAGAAAGCACATGTGACATGTGTAGCTCCTTACCCCTTCCTGTCAGTTCCCCTTTCTCTCTCCCTCTCTCTCTACTACTCCTTTAAAAGACTGCAGCAAGTTGCAGCAAGACAGCCAAATATTGATCAATGGGGTGTGTGTGTGCGGGTGTGTGTGTGTGTGAAGGAGCTGGAAGGGACCGGGCAGAGGAGGGAGGAGGGTGTGGGGGAACCTTGTCTTTTTTTTCCTCTTTCTCTTTTTTTTTCTCCCCCTCTCTCCTCCCTCCCCCCCCAGCCAACTAGCATCGTCCCCCCTCCCCTCCCGGGTGCCCCCCTTTCTCCGGCTAGGCTCGGGCGTTGCACCCGGAGCGCTGCCGGCTCTGCAGTGCCCGCTCCTCGCCCGCCGCCGCTCCGCGCAGCCCCGCGCCCGGCTCCGCTTCTCGGGGCGGTGCGGCTATAGCCGGCAGCGCACCCCCCTCCTCCCCATCCCCCGCCGCAAAGCACCTCTGCTCGCTTTCCTCCCTCCGCACACACACACACACATACGCACGGCATTTGCCAGGGCGGGAGGATGATGCTGCATTTTAACGCCCTCCAAGACCCCGTCCCGAGCCCCTCCCTCCCCCGGCCGCAGCACCGTGGCCGCCCCGGGTGCTCCTGCTTCCCGCCGGCTGCCGGGGAGGGACGGAGCGATAGAGGGAGAGCTTCGCCCGGAGACTTCGCCAAACGCTTTCCCAAAGCGGCAGCATCCACGGCCGCCGCGCCCCGGTCCCACGGCTGCTGCATCCCCACGCCGCGCCCAGCCCCTGCCCCTGTGGCTCCTGAGTTCCCCCAGGCAAAGCTCCCAGCCTCAGCTGCCACCTTTCCCTTTCCCCCATTTGCAGCCCGAGGTCGCAGAGGGGGAGCTGTCTCCCTGCTCCTGCCAGTAACTCCGGGAGAGACTTGGGTCAAGGGGAGGGAAGGGGAGTGAGCTGTTCCCTTCTGCCCGGCACCACTCTCCTTCCGCCAGCCGCTCCCTGAGCAGTGACCCAAGAGGGGCAGGACGGGGTTCCTGACACCCTTCAGCTGAAAAAGAGGTTTTTCAAGCAAAGACACCAGCAGACCATTACATAAGTGGAGAAAAATTCTGCAGCTCCCCGGACCAAAGGCGAGCAGCAGACAAATGCATGTATTTGCAGTAGGAGAGCTGCCCGCCAACTCTCCAGGCAGCAAGCTATGCCCCTCCAAGAGCTTCAGCCAGGACTGCTTGGGACAGCAAATCCAGCCCTAGCAGACCTGACAGCCCCTTGCAGACAAGGCAGGAAAAAAGGGCATCCTTGCTTGGTAGGAGCTTTACACTTAACCTATAAGCTTAAATTGCAAACTTGTAGTTATAAAACAAACCCCCAAGAATGCAGATCTCTGCTCGGTGTCTCCCCTTCCACCAAATTCTTGCTGTATTTTAGTTAATTTTGTCAAGCAGAAATTGGTTTATTTTTGGGATGGGACCAAGGACGCTGTTCAAAGCCTGAGACAGTGAGGTTCGTCCGTAATAAACCCTTACTGAAACAGAAGGAGGGAGAGTGGGAACGGGAACTCGAGACTGTCAGCAGACTGCCTGATCCAGGACTAAGGCTAACAGCTGGCTATGCTCAGCTTGAAGTAATTATCAGTGTTTCAGAGAAAAACCAGCATATTCAGACACTGCTACCACACACACTTCTCTGTGGATGAACAGGATATGCAAAGCAGGAGCCCATCTTTGAGGGCTTTGGAGGGTTCATGTTAGGTCTCAGAAACAGTGATTCAGACTGGGAGCCTGAGGTCCTGCAGAAGCTTGGAAACATTAAATTCTTCTACGGGATGCAACAGAGAGACTGTGAATATTGGACTGGAAACTTACCTAACTGAATAAGTGGCTAAGATTCACAACTACCTCGGTAAAACTAGCTTAAATTTTAGATATTTCACTGGGTGCTGCAAGCACATCATGCCTTTCAAATTCAGGCTGCTTTTATTTAGTGGCCTAGATACTGGTGAACTGGAGGGCTTGGAAATGTGGCCTGGAATTCTTACAGGCAACAAGAAGGACCAGCTGAAAATGGGAAATTCTGTAGAAACAACCTTGTTAGCCTCTTATTTGCTTATCCTAAAACATTGCCCATGATGGAAATCTGCCTCAACAACCCCAGGAAATGCTAGGCTCCATTGGTACAAATTACGGCTCTTTGTCTATTTTATGACACACTTACGCTCAAGGTTGAGTGCTCCCAGTGAATAAAGTCTAAATGCAAAGGCTTTATTGAGCCTTTGTGCTTACACATGAGACCTTGAGCAGAAAGTCAGAACTTCTACACATGCAGGCTTGTAATAGCCTTTGACAGAGTACGTCGCCATATCTAAGCCACAGGTGCTATTGGCAGAGATACCTTAGCAGTATGGGCTTCAACAGAGGTGGTAGAATTTCTTCCTGGAGCCTTTTGATCCTTGATACTTGCTGCTTTTATGGTTTATATGGAGTTGGTACCTAGTCTGGCAAAGAGAAAACCTTAATCATTTCTCGTTATTACTGTGGCCTTGGCCTGTAGGCCCTCTACAGACCTGGTCATTGCTCAGGAGATTGGCCAGACTTTCCTGTTGACCACTGGAAGAGATCAGGAGCACCGTAAAAGCAATCTGGACCACCTTAGGAGGAGCAGACCCCTCTGGTGCCTAAATAACATAAGGCAAAGGATGTTTTTCTGCAGCTTCTCCCAGTCCTGGATAACTTTATTCTGACAGGACACTGCAGTAGAGCATTCAGAAACAGCATTGCTGAAGCACAGACCATGCAAAAAAAAAGGGCAGAGAAATATGTGCAGTGAAAGGTGTAACTGAGCACAAACTGGTTCCTTCCTAAGCAGGAAAATAAAGCAATATTGCCAAAGGGCACTGGGAGTTGGCCTTGCCTGTCCCTGGCAGTACACAACAACAAAGTGTAATCCGGTATTAGTGCTGGTAAAACTGGCTTAATTTTTAGATATTTGAATGGGTGCTGCAAGCACACCATGCCTTTCAAATTCAGGCTTTTTTTATATAGTGGCCTAGATACTGCTGATCTGGAGGTGCTTGCAAATGTTGCCCCGCAGGTAACGTGGATGACAAAGTGACTAATGCACTGTGTTGGTCATCTCAAATGGCAAAATACATGGAAGATCTAAAAAGTCAATTTGAAGCACATCTCAGAAACAAGCAGGGCATCAGCACCTTTGAGAGCAGTGTTGGGATATGCTGATATTTATATCCTCCCTGGTGTCATCCAATGAATCCTTTTTAAAGGGGAATAACTGACATGTCGGGGATGCTACTGGGGGAAGTGAATGATGATTCACAGAGTCTGGAGCCCAGAGAAGTAACAAACCACAGACATTCAAAAGACTTGGAAACATTTGAAACAAGATTCAGCTTGGAAAACATGTGATTGTATCTGGGGTAAATAATTGGAGTTGCCTGCTCCCAGAGAGGAGACAACTTTGGGAACAAATGAATCAGCACAAAAAAAAAAGGGTTTATGGCAGAAAGCAAGGTAAAGATGGTGTTGGAAAAAAACCCCACCCAGCATTGCATAGCAGAAAGTCAAAGCAATACAAATTTACTTGTAGAGATATCCTAAAGCAGGGAGGGAACAGTCCCTCTGTATGACTCTGATGTGGCTGCACTGAGGGGACTGTGTTCATCTCGGTGGGTTACTGAGATGTAGTAAACTTGTTAATAGTTTAAATAAGAATTATTAATAGGCTCAAGGGGTTGACATAGGTGCACTGCTTAGGTACTGCTGAAGGTAAAATTTTGTGTCCGAGAGCTAGATTGCCAAATGCTGATTCACAATCAAGTAGAGCTACAAGCAGTCCTATTGACATAGTGATTTTAAGTTGTTATGATTTAATAGCAGGGTGGATATAGTGAAAATTAACTGTACAAAAAGGCAGTGAAACAGTGAAAAATGAAGGAATAATTAGAATAGCCCCAGAAGCTGTGTAAAGAGCTAATAAGAATAAAGAGAACAGAATTCAGACCAACTAGGAGTTCATGTTCCTACGTTTATGTGATTTTCTACCTCAAACTGGGAAAGAAAAGCTCTGGTGTATTGAGTTCAGTTTTAGAAATGAGGTTTTAAGAGAAAATCCCTGAGCAATTCTCATTTAATACTGAACTTCCTTGAACTGCAGGGAAGTTCACAGGAGCCAGGCAGGCAGGGCAGGAGTGGGAAGGGGGTCACACTGGGGGTCTTGGCATAATAAATAAAGAATTTCAAAGAGACTGTGCACAAACTGACTGTTTTATTCTACATTTGGCAGATTGCTTTGTCTGTCCTATAACAAACAAGTTCTTTTAGTTTTGAAAAGCAAAACCAGTCAATTCGGAAATCAAGCTTTTGAGAATAAATTTTAAATACTTTTTTTTTTCTGATTAATTTTACAAATATTTTTGAATTTCATTTTTTCACCAAAAACTTGAAGCTTTCTTGGAAATTTATTATAAAGAAATAAACAAGTTTTGCTCCTCTTTCTGTTTGTTTGCTTTTTTGTTTGCAAAAATATGCTTGTCATTTTCTAAGCAACTGTGGCTAATTCACACTGTTACATGATAAAAGCCTCTGGTGTTAGCAAGGAGCTGTGAGATCTGTGACAAGGAAGAGCATCATCAAATGCAAAATACTAATGCATTATATTTCTTGAGAGGACTGAAAAATCAAAATGCTGAAAGAAGACAGCTTGCAAGGATAGCTTGGAGCAGCAGGCAGTTAAGTAACATGTTTCCTGTGGGTGGGAAGGTTAAGTCCTGATTTTATTTTCTTTTGTGGGAGAGAAAATATTGATTCAGCTGGAGAAAATGGAAATTGACTGAGGAAGCTACCTCAGATGAGTGAAAAAATCAAACAAATGCACACCTACATGTGTTTCTCCTTATCACTTCTGCAAAAAGTAAGCCACATCTCTTCAGATCTTGTTATTGTGCTTCCTACTATCATAAAAGACTAACAATGAATATTCATTTCTTCCATCACCATATGTCTTTATTTTCATGTCCCTTCCTGTTTGGAAAAGTACTTTGAAAACAAAGGTGTCTGCTATAACCCATCTCTGGATGGAGATCTGTGGAACTGTAAATTATACCTGCTACCCACGTCCTCCTGTAGGGCTTTATGCAGAGACCCTATCTATCCTGTGGGCTTTCAAGCTGACTGGGGAAGATACTGCAATGTATTTTTAATGCTACAGATCTAAGGGAAGCTGGAAAAGAGATTCCTAAGCACAGGAACCCCAGTAAGAAAATAGATGGCATTAATTCTTGTCTGACAACATATTGGATTCTTGCCTTACATTATTTCACCTCCTCATTGAGAATGGAGGTTACTGTTGTATATTATCACACCCAAATCA